CCTTTTCTTCCCCTCTCCAATCTCTTCTCCCGGGACCCGCACACAAAATCCCCCTCCACTACCACCCCACCTGCGGCATTCAGCATTCTTAACCCCAGTCGGTTAAGGACACCCGAAAAAATCGTTCGTAGATCATGTACGACGCCGGCCGAGCCGAGTCAAGTTTTAGTAATTGCCGTGGCCTAATCATGAATTCTGAGACCCAATAACCTGCAAAAAGGTTTGCTCTACACGTTAAGATAGACCATGACAACTTCTGGGGCTTCCAAACTGATAGATACAGCAGTAAACAGTTTAATTTCACTGCCAGTTTTCAGTTTTAAGGTTGTACCAGCGGACACTGCAGATGCCGAATCACAATACAAAGCGTATCACGTGTCGCACTGAAATGAAATTTTTTACCAATGAAAAAGCATTACTTCTTGATTTTTTCGACGGGGAGCACCGTATTTCGCGAGAGTGTGATAGACGTAAGCTTGGGGCATGCATCCGCAAAATACGCCATCTCGTCGAAGCGCAGAGAGGAAACGTGCAAATTCAAGCTCTTGACTGAACCATAAATCTCTTTCGCCGTCCTCAAAATATGTCACTTTCCAAACTTTCAATTGGAATATTTGACAAGGCGCACTTTTTTAGCAAAACATTAGGGTTCTTTCATGGTACATTTTCACGAATTGTGCATTTTGGAGCGGAGAGTCACGCACTAGTGCTGATTATTTCTTGGCAGTTTATTGGTCTACAGAATTACATTTCGGCATAAGTTTTCGCTTATCAACATTTTATTTGCTTGCCAGATCGTTTAGCTTGCATGCGATTGTGTTCCTATCTTTTCTACAACTGTCTGTTTCAAATATCTGTCAGCCCATGCCAGGGTAACGCGCAGAAGGGTAATGTCCCCAATATTCCAGCACAAGAAAACCATTTTTGACTTTCTGGAAGCAGCACAAACGGCGAGGAGGACACACGCACACACATACACATCCATTGCGATGTATTACATAAATCAAATATTAATCAATTATGCAAAAAATCTGAACTTTTTGGACAGGAGTTCGATTTCTCGCAAGTCCTGGACAGTGATGTGGCAGACTGGCTCGAAACTGACCACCTGCAATCTATGCTTCGGAATCAGCTGCAACGCATAGCCAATTTCTTCACGCACAGCGTGCAACGAACGACTGTTTTGTTTGTTGGCCGCTGGAAATGTACGTGTAATCAGGGACCCAACATGCAGCTTGGTACGTGTAGTCCAGAAGTAACGAACAGCCTGAAATATAGATCAGTGATACACGCAACTTCCAAAAGCCGAAAGGGCGCGTGCCCCTCGACCAGGAGGTGCGGCGTAAACAGTACAGCACGATAGATCTTTTGTTTTCATCGGTTTAAATTTAGCATTTTAATGTGGATTCTAAAGCTTCTGCGCATTGATGGATCCAGGAGGGAGGAGGGGGAGGGGGAGAATGAAGGGTCTTTCGTCCCCACCCCCTCCAGGGGCTAAGGTAGTAGCTATTTTACTGTACAAAACTCGGTTCGATACCCCGTTTCGCCCCCTCCCCCTCCTCCAGGAGCTCCCTATCCCTCAGTCGTCGCCGCAGTTTAGGGTTGACTAGCGGGGAGGGGGAATGGCCAAAGGGAGGGAGGAAGGTGTAATGACGAACGGGGGAATAAAAATCGCCTTTCCCAGGAGACAGCCCTGGATCCTCCTATGCTTCTGTGGCCCACATTTTGTAGCTCACTTTTAAATGATTAATTCTTGCTGAAGTTCCGCCTCTCACGCTAAATTTTATACTCGTGTAGGCCAGAAGGACGAATTTGTTTTTCCTCTCTTCCTTTAATATTAAGAAAGCAAAACGAGCAAAGCCTTCTAAAAACAATTCGCTTATTCATAAACGATTTCAGAATGGGCCCCAAAAAGCTGTGGTTTGCGTAAGAAGCAGTTCCATGAATTTAATGCGCATTGCCGCTCCAGGGAAGAAAGTAGGAAAAAGGACAGGCGCCTCTTTCTGGGACAGTGCACATCAGACTTTCGTATCTGCAAAAAAAATTGTGGTAAAGGGCATAATTATAAACAAGCATCAGACTACAAACAAGCATCCAGGATAACACCAAAGAGTTGGTGCGCGTGCGCAGTAGGGCAGACTGCTGATAGAAAGACGTTAAGAGGACGTTTCTGAAAGAGATCGTGGATGCAAGTAGGAGGACGTTTCGCAGTTTCATTCTGCACGTGGCTCTTAACAGTTTGTGCTAATAACAGCTCGCTTATGAAAACTGATGATAGTTCTCATTAACAAAAGTTATCAAGAAAGTCCACCGGCAAAATGTTAGTTGCGCAGACTATTAGCACAGAGATATAAGAAACAAGACCGACCAATGACTTAAGGCTTTTGATATCGTTGTTATGCAGCAGAGTTTTTTCGTCTCCCTTGCTTTTCTGAGGTAATCACCGACAAAATCAAGTGGCGAAGGCTTCCTGTCACCAGTCCTCATATCTTTCAGTTTGCCGAGTCAAGTGCCAAATACGCCCACTGTCTACGGTCTATTCAATTCCATTCGGAAGATACCGGAAAAGACAGCTGATTCATGGCGCGAGTTATGGGTTCTGGAATGCTGGTGTGATATGAGCAGACAAGTGTGCAATTTTTAGCGCATCTCCTCCGAATGTGTTTGCTTCACAGTCACAGCCGAATTTATAAATGCCGTCATTGTGCAGTCGTAGGTAGCAGCTCATCTCTACTCTTGCTCAAGCTCGTTCTGGTGAAGATGTCATCACCCATCTTCGACAGTTTTACTTCTTAATCAAATCGTTGCATCTGTTCGGTGTATCGGCATGAATACTTCACGTTTCAGGTTTTACGTCTTCCACTCCAGCACGGTTTGCGCAACTGTGCGGATCCCCCCTTCAATCTGATCATGGACGTCGGACGAATTCGGCTCATTGTGCTTATTGAAGAAACTTCTCAGCACTACATTCACGAACTCGCCCAATTTCCGCCGTCACAATCCAGACCGCTTCTCTGATCTGTCAATTCATCTTTTTCTCATTCATTTCTCAGCGCCTGATATGCTCACTTAATACTCTCCACGTTTCAGCAGCCTAAATATACATACGTATTTTCCACAAAAGGTGCTGGTTGCTTCACATGCTGATGACGGGTATTACTGAAATAACATTAAAAATCTGTCAGGATCAAACTAAGTACAATCGAATTCGTTCTCACTTTTGTATGTGGCTCAAACCAAGTCCATTCTTATCCTGCTTCGTTTCTGAAACAGGTGCTGCCAGTCTCGTTCATCTCCGTCGCGATTGCTAGCTTATTACCTCTGTTGCTCATCTTATCAATACCTTTCCTACAATCGAACATCTTTTATCTATTCCCTCTTCTCTCGTTTTACACTGAAAGTGTCCGACTCTGCGGTGTGTGTGGGGTTGGCGGTGAAAACTGATTCGACTTTAACAAAGAACTCTTTAACTTCAGTTTCATCGCTTACCTTGGTGTAAAAGCGAATGTGCACGAATTTCGGGATTTGAACAAGGCAAGCCGATTTGCGACAAGTGATGGTACTGTAAAGGCGATATCCCCGCTTTGCCTTTCTATCCCCAACCAAAATAATAAAATACAAAAATAAAACAGAAAAAACTTGAATCATCCTTCGATGGAATTCCAGTCGAACGTCGGGAAGCAACGTTCCCATCGAAGAACAAATCTCCGGAAGGAGTCTGATGCTACCAGCATCGGTTTTTTCGGCAAATCCTTCTAGCTAAACAAATTAAGACTGATCGCCAGCACTGGCAGGAAACACTCCCCTAAAATTTCTGCTTTCCAGCTTTCCTGGCATCTGAGCTAGCAACTTACTGAAAAAATTTTTCACGAGCCTGCACGTAGGTACCACGCATACCCGACTTCTAGGTTTGAACCCGTTAAGACTTACTTGGACGGAGAACATCTTCCAAAAACTACAGTCTTTTAGCTTTTCAGGTTCTCGAGTTATGAACTTGCCCGGGAAAAACTTTGGCAAACGCGTGCGTAGAAACCACGCATGACCAAGGGCTGGGTTTGAGCTCGCTGAGACTAATGCGGACGGAGAAAATCCTCTTAATATTACAGAATTCAAGCATCTCAGATCCCCGAGTTATGAACTTACCCGGGAAAAGCTTTGGCAGACCCGTACGCGGGTACCACGCTTACCCAGAAGCTGGGTTTGAGCTCACTAATACCTACTTGGACGGGGAACATTCCCTTAATATTTCAGCTTTTAGCTTTTCTGGTTCGCGAGTTATCAACTTACCTGAAAAAGATTTTGGCGGGCTCGTACAAGGGTACCACGCTTATTCGGAGGTTGGGTTTGAGCTCACTAGTACCTACTTGGGCAGGGAACTCAAAAAAAAATTTCAGATCTCTAGCTTTTCTGGTTCGCGAGTTAGCAGCTTTCTCGTCAAAAACTTTGGCGGGCTCTTACGTGGGCACCACACGGGAAAGACTGCCCATTTTGGGAATAGGGGCCCGTATTTGCATATAGATTAAGTCCCCAAAGTTTCAGCTCTGTAGCTTTTGCAA